TGAAGAAATTGAAAGAAATCTTTCAGTGACTCTTATTAGAAGTGTCAATACAACACAAACAACCATGCTTTCAAGGCAAGTGTTTTCTGTAGATGAGGGACCTTCAGTTACTCTGCAGATGTCAAAGTGTCAGTTTAATCACTATCCTATCTCATTTGACCACCCTATTAGATCAACAGATCTAAATTAAAAAAATAGAAACAAAACCACCCAAACTACAAAGATTTGTACCTCATGGTATTTTGCATCATTAATTTGAGCTTTCTTCAATGTGTCTTCAAGATGCACAGGACCACTGCTGAATCCAAAGTCATAGAAGACATGTAGGTAACCATTGCGCATTTCCAGGCTGAAAAACATACCCTGGAGAGAAAGAAGTAAGATGTGAGCATCTGCCATTATGAAAGTGTAGACTTGGCTGAATTTGAGAAATAACACTGTATTCTTTATTACTGAAATTATTCGAAGACTAAGGAAGTGACATGAAATTCTTATTATGAGATAAAAATGGCACTTCCTTATCAGCAGTTATTTCTCATATAAAATTGCCCAAAGTGTTAATATTTATACACAATTTAAAACACCTACCTTCTTTTGTTTTTTACTCTACTTTAATTTTAAGTCTACGTTATTGACCTTTTAAAATTACTTGAAACAGAGTATAATAGACCATGTTTATTCAACTGCTTTGTTTTAGACAACTTTTGAAAATTATAACAGGCCAATAGATGTGATTGCATTCATTTTAAGATGAAAATTGGTAAGAACAAAAAATACTTCCAAAGTATTTTGTAAAGAATCTCCCCAACCTACCAGAAAATATAGATATAAGAAAAAGAAGGCCATTTCTGTATTATTTTGAAATACTGGATTTGTGTAAGTAAATATGAAATTATTATGCACTTAAACCACATGATGTTTGAGAACCAAAGTAATCCTGTAACACTCAAGTAATTTACTAGTCAGGTTTGCTTTTTTCAGAAGATAGTTCATAGATATAAGAATTCAATGAATTTGAAAAATAAAGTATTGTGGTAAAGTCCCTATTCTACAGAAAGTGATCTTCTGAGTAGAGTTTGTGTACTCTTGGGAGTCTGGAAAACAATTCATTGGGGTTTAAGAAGAAAATATTTTAACTTCTATTTATACTCATTTAAAAAATCTGAAATAGAGAAACTCTAATATTTAATATTTAATACATGGATTGATCCTGGACCTTTATTTCATCCTTCCATCAGATTTTCATGCAATTCACATGGTACATGAGGCTTGCTAAGTGGGGCTCCACACTTGAAGGGTTTGAAGGTGGCCACTCACTCATTTCTCTGCTTTTAGCCTGTTGCAATTTATTGCAGCATATGTGTGCTGAGTCTCAGGGATTTATGGGTGCTATGACTTAAATAACAGCATATTTACAATGATTTTGTATTGAGATGCAAAGTGATGTAAACATATTTTGAGACACAAACATGTTTGCTGGTTACTTCCTGCAAATTACTAAAAATGCTGTCAAGTTTGTAGAGGGTTACACATTTTTCTTTATAAAAAACTTATTCTAAATTTGTTCATCTTTATTTGTGATGACAAATGTCTTTGAGTAGTATGAAACCTACCAGTTATTTCAAAAGATAAACCTACTTGATCTGTCACTTCAAGGTAATGAAATGGTAAGTCTATGCCTGTGAACCAAACTGACTCCATTTTCCCTGCAGAGGACACTTTGTTACTTTTCTACTCCTCAGTCATGAGATCCCCCAGGGCACATGATTATCCCATGGCCTGCCCTGATAAAATAAACTGAGATAAGAGGGGAACAGATGGTCACTGAGTTGCAAAAGCCCCAAGGCTTATTTACTGTACTCATAAAAATTAAGTTACAAATTAATCTTAAGATCCCTTTAGGAATTCCTGCATGTGAGCAAAGTTTCAAGGTGACCACTACAATGACCCTCCTGAGGTGACAATGATGAACACCACCGCCATCTTGGACCTACTGAGCAGGCTCAAGGACTAACGCCCTAACTGAGCATGTGCCCATGATGTGACCTGAAGAAACAGAATGGACCACCTCCAGTGATGCTGGCCTGTACCCCTTAACTCCTTTCCCTATAAAAAACCCTGAATGGCTCCCCTCAGGGGGCTAGCTTTACTGTAGCTACCCCCGTATGCATAAGTCTATCCCCTCTTTTAGTAAAGCATTGCTTGCTTTACTTCTGGGTGCAGTGTTCATCTCTATGACTCAAGAGCCTAATTTGGTACAAGCCAGGAGGTAAGGGGACTCTGGGTGCCAGGAACGGCTCTGGGATACTCCCCATGGGCCACACGTGCTGCTCTAATATCTGTACCAGTGAAAATTGTAAAGCTGTGGACACCAGAGAAGACCCTAGCTGCGAGAGGCAAGTGGCCACTGGGACTGTTTTGCTCTGATGTCTCTGCTGCCGGTGAGTCTCTCCTGGAGCCCCTGGCCTAAATTCTGACAAGACAATATTTTGTTCTCTTCTTACTCTTCCTTTTTCTTTCCCCTCTCTTCCTTTGTGAAGTGACTACTGGACAGCTACAGCTTGACTCCTCTCAACCTGTGAGAAGCATGCTCCCTCTGCCCGGCAGCGGCTTGCCCCTGGCAGGTAACTAGCAGAGGTTGGAAGGCCAGTCCTACAAATGAAGATCTTGCTTGAGCAGGTTCCCCCTGACAGGGGATGCATGAGAGTGGTGGGGAATCATTCCCACCCCACACAGTAACTGGCAGTCTGGAAGCCACTAACACTCTCTTTACCTTTCTCTGATTTTCTAAGCCCTCTTTCTGCTGTTTGGTTGGATTGTATCCACTACTATGTAGGTGCACCCCGGAGGGCTCCTGGCTATGCTTTGTTTCTGATTTTCTGAGCCCTATTCTGTTTTTCTGTGCAGTTGAACCCTGGAGGGTTCCTGGCTGTGTTTTGTTTCTCTGATTCAAATCTAGTCGGCACTTTTCTTCTTTGTGCCAACGACAGTGGGGAGAACTGCTTTTATCAATTACTGTGTCAGTGGAATAGGCTTGCCCCGCTGATTGGGACTAGGATAAAGTGGACCCACTGTTCCTCTTTTCTCTTTGTCTGTTTGCTTGGTTAGACATTTAGTTGAATTCCAGTAATCTCAATAAAACTTCCAATCCTTGCACCAACTTTTGGACTTTTGAATCATTTGTTTAGAACGAGAGGGCAAGCCGAGCCTGGTCTGTTGGTAACAGTAAGGTATTATTATAACAATGAAAGAGAAAATAACTTTTATTTTTTGAAGAATGTTACATTGTGGAGAGATGAGCTTTAAAAAAGATGTCTGAAAATTTTTCTATTGTTAAGCGATTTTTGTTGATGAAAACAATGTAAGTACTCTACCTATAAAAACTCTCACATCTGTCCTATTAAAACACTTGTGGAGAGAAATTCTCACCTGTTTGAAAATCATTCAAATGAAGATTTGCAATGGTTTTGAATTCTTTTGTTAAAATTTACAATATGATACAGTATCTGTTTAACTTGCAAGAACTGACATCAGGAAAGGTGAAAATGTACCAGACAAATTTCAAAGACAAC